CCCCAAAACCCCAAAACCCCAAAACCCCACTAGTAAGGACTACTATTAAAAATAGTTAAAAATGGGTGTGTGTAACAGTTGTTTGAAGCAAGATCCACAGAGTCTCAGCATCGAAAAGAAAGCTAAAAATAAAAATACATCTCAAGCAGTTAACTCCAGAATGTCTGAACGTATTCAGAGTAACTTTCCATCTAATTAAATCTCAAGTTTCTCAAAAATGATCCTTATCAGCTTCTAGAAAATATTTCTCCGTCTAACAGAAGCAAAGAGAGTTTTAGGCGTAAGCTTTGCATAAATTTCTAGAACCTAATTCTCTTTACTCAAGCAAGAGTTCGATTTCTTCAAGTCTCATAGAGAACAACTCTCCAATTTCTTTCTATCATCTTCCGTCATTATTCAATGTTGAAGAGTTTGACCTCACCAGTTGCACTGAAGAGGAGCTCATCACAAAATCAGATTGGCTTTACAAAGAAATTAAAGAAGTCAAGACCTATATATCGCATCTTGAAACAAGACTAGGCTCACTGGATCCTGAAGAAAATGCGCAAACAGAAAAGGTTATCATCCATATCGGCAACTGTACTATTAGTAAGTAGTTCTAGTCCTGTAGGGACCGGATTAGGTCTTCCCTAACTAGTTGTTACTGATAAACAACTTCTCAGTTATTTCTAGTTGATTTACAAGTCGGCAAGAAGTATCAGGTAAGCATCCAGCAGAAGCTGGATAGCTTACTGAAAAGCAATTTTGAAGAATCGTCAATCACCCAACAATATTTTGAGAATCTTTCCACAGTGAAGATAAATCAAGAGAGTTTTTCTGCAGAATATCAAAAATTACAGCTTGAGAAGAGTCAAACGGAGCATAAGGAAGTGGACCCAGGGAGGCTTTTCTGCTCTAACCAACTGCCAGTTGTGAAGGTATACTCTATATTACCAATGTAGGCTCTTGGGAAGGAATATTCAAGCCATAAAAGGATCAGTATGGTGAACAAAAAGGATTTCCTTGCTTCAGCAGTTGTAACAAAAACTCAGAAAATGAATGGTAAGGGATCGTTAAATCATGAAGACTCCCTCCTCGAAAGTACTTCGCTTGAAAAGGAAGTGTTCTACTGAGAATCTTCCAGGGTAATCACAGCTAAATCCAACACCCAGTGACATTGGGGTGAGATGCACTGTCTCTTCTTCAACAAAGATGTTGAATCCTTGAAAAAGAAGTTCAATATTTGTTTCTTAGAAAGATTGCAGGATAGAGCAACTTCCCATTGTAAGGACAGGACATTATTCGTGTCTCAATTTGATGAAGGAAAAATATATGAGAATGAATTATCATTTAAGAGTCAGGAAAATGATACTGAGGTAGCTACTCTCAGTATCAAAATTCAGTATATTAAAGATGAAGAGCAACTCATTCATAGTATCCTTGATCTCTGTGAGAACAAGAGGAAGCTTCTAAGTATGTTACTCAAAAACTGAGTTGAGAGGCTTAAGGTCTCTGGACAAGGATCTTCCCCAGAGAACCAGAATCCTCAAGAAGAAGCATTTCTAATTAACACTGAGCTCAAAGAAAGTCTATTAAATAGGATTAAGCACCAATCAATTCTGAGCTGGGAGACTTCCAACAAAAATTCATCTATTGCAGATATTTCTCAGGAACGAAGTGAGTCAAAAGGGATCTCAATTGTTGAGAATATTGAAAAGATGCACTCTTTCTCTTTTGCTGAGGATTACGAGGCAAATCATCATAAAATATCTGATAACGAAGACGATGAGTTTTTCAAAATGTTCAGCCCTAAAAATACTGACAAAAATCAAGCGGTTAAAATATCAAATGAATAAAATATCTCTTTCAATCTTTTTGCAGCTAAGGGGTTTTGGGGTTTTGGGGTTTTGGGGTTTTGGGG